TTTTTTTTTTTTTTTTTTTTTTAGCAGGTGGAACATAAAAATATCTTGGGTGGAATGCTTTTCTTTTCAATATGTTTGTTATGGGTTAAGGTTATACCTAATCCTATTTCATTATCTTCCTAAAAACAGAGACCTGAATTTAGCAGTTGACATGCAGTCAGTTTTTAAAAATCACACTCCAGAAGCAAACTTAAATTCAAGTAAATTACATAATTAAGCCATGCTAATTCCACTATTTTCCCTTCCTAAGTCCTTAAAAAAATTAAATGTATATATGGAAATTTAATTCAGTATTGCTTTGGTTTTAAAATGAAAACACTTTATCTTGTAGTATACTCATTTATTTTTAAACTCTTCTGAGGCAGTGAAAACCTAGGAATTCCACCCACACATATGTTCATCCCCTTTTGTATTTTTATTCTTTTTAGTAATACCACAGGAAATATAAACACCATAGCCAATCTTAAGCTGCCCCCCTCATTTCTTCTTTATAGCCTTTGGTTCTTCACTTTATATTACAAAGTACTGTGTCTTTGGGGGCCCTTCGTTACAGACACCAGAAATAGCTTTGTTCTGAATTGCTGCTTCACCCAAAGCAGTAGAAACCCTTCCTAGAGACAAAGGAGTCTGTGCTGAGACTTTTGGCCACTGGATGCCACTGTTGATCCAGCAGAGGTCAGCAGATGAACAGAGAGAGGCATCTTCAGAAAAAGTACTTCTCTCCTTTGTCTCAGAAGATCCTTTCACTTCTCTACCTCAAAAATACCTTATGGCTGGCAGAGAAAAGCATATGTCCTTGATTTCGCAAGCACCTCTCAGTACATTTTTGCCTCCATGGGTTTCAGAATCTCATTTTCTGGAAACGAATGGTTGTCCTTCAGCGAGCAGCGAAGTACTCATGGCACACATGGGCTCAGCCCTCAGTCGTCTTTCTTTTCCTGCATTCCTTGAATAATTGTAGAGAACTACAAGCTACACTTAATGCTCTTTGTAATTCTCAGGACATTCTCCTTCCTTCCTGCTTTCCACATCTCTTCCCTTTGGGCAGTGATTTGTAGTCAGGCCGCAGAGCTGCTTGTGATTTCCTTCTCTCCTCATCGCTCCCCTTGTCTTTCTGAATTGCTCTCCCTGCCCTACTTTTTTATTTGCGGATCTGTGTCCAGTTTGGTGAGGGATAGTTGACTGGAAAATGAGAGAAATGCTTCTTAACTGTTAAGAAATCTTATTTGCTTTTCTATCTCAAGGGTGTGAATCTTAATTATTTCTGATATGGTTTCAAAACTTGTGTACTTGTCCCTCCCAACATCTGAGGTATATGCACCTCCATGGATAAAGACCAGACTTGGACAGACTGTAATTCTGTGGGCTCTTGAAAGTCTTCCTTGGGTGTGCGAATGTAAAATTATACACCGCTGGATTATTATCATCATTGTTGGTATAGAGTTGAAGGTAAAGATAAGGGCAAATAAAGGAGGAAAGATAAAATAATCTTCTGACAACCAGAAAAAATGTAAAAATTACTTTAATGCTTTTTTTAGATCTAAAGTCCTTGTTAGTTTAGGAACATAAAGTGCGTTACCTGATTAAATCACAGAATGATATATTCAGTTTAGCGTCTAATTTATTCAGTTATCACACCTTGAACTTTAGAAGGTTTTGATTTCTCTTACAAATGTCTTTGTTACGATTTGGATTTGTGACCTTATTCTGACACCAGCTGGTGTGCTGCAGTTCAGTTGGGACGCTGCCCACCTCACATTAGAGCAGATGACACAAGTTCAGGACTCAGTTCTCCACAAAACTACTCCTACATCACATGGGGCCACAGGGGGGGTTCCCAGGCCACCACATTTTTTACCAACTGGCTACAAATTTGGGGGCTCCTCTGACCCTCAGGTTCAGCAACTCATTAGAAAAACTTACTTGATAGAACTCAGGAATGCACTATATTTATAATCACAATTTTATCATAAAGGATATAGATTGGGACCAGCCAAATGAAGAGACACATTGAGTAAGGTCTGGGTGGGTCCTGAACACAGAGCTTCTGTTCTTCCTCTGTGGAATCTCAGGATATGTCATCCTCCCATCATATCAATGTGTTCACCAACCAAGAAGTTCCATTGAGCTTCAGTGTCCAGAATTTTTATCAGGGTTTCATTACAACAGCGTGATTGATTAAATCATAGGCCACATGATTACACTCAATCTCCAGCCCCTTTCCCCTCCGCAGAGGTCCAGAGGGCTCAAAGCCCCCAACCCTCTAATCACATGGTTGGTTCTTCCTAGTGAGCAACCGCTGTCCTGAGTTATTTCATCTCTCAGCATAAATTCAGGTGTGATCCAAGGTGCCCATGAATAATGAAGACACTTCTGTTACTTGAGAAATTCCAAGGATTTAACCTCTCTCTCAGGAACCAGGGACAAAGGCCAAATTCTTTATTATATAGTAGGCCTGCTTACCTTACAAAAGAACTCTAGAGTCTCTTACTTTTAGCTACTTTTGAGCCAAGTTTCAACTTTTTTTCTAACTCCAGTACTATTATTATTTTCTATTCTTACTATTTTGAACAAGCAGTTAATTAGTAAGCACATTGTTTCTTATTCTACAGAAATAAGTTACAGGAGACTATCTGCCAGTGTCCATTCCACTCCCAGTCCTTTAAGGCGCCAAAGACACGATTATGTCCACTAACCTCTAAGTTAATAATTATCAGAATTATCTAGGAAATGTCATAAAAATGCACATATTGGGGCCCTGACTCCCAAGATTCTAATTTACTTTGAACCGGAGTCCAGAGGACCACTTTTTGAAAAAGCTTTGATAATTCTGATGAAAAACTACAATTGAGAATCACTACTGCTAGACCAGCACTGTCCAACAGAAACACAGTAATCCCCCTTATCCATGGAGGATATATTCCAGGACCCCCATGGATGCCTGAAGCCATGGGTAGTACCAAACCATATATTATATACATTATATACACACATACAATCATATGTGTGTGTGTGTGTGTGTGTGTGTGTACTGCTTTTTCCTATACAGACATATCTATGATAAAGTTTAATTTATCAACTAGGCACAATAAGAGGTTAACAGCAATAGCTAATAATAAAATAGAACAATTATAGCAACATACTGTAATAAAAGTTATGTGAATGTAGTCTTTCTCTCAAAATATCTTACTAGAAGGGTGCTGTACTCACCTTTCTTGTGATGATGAGACAATGACTGTGATGAGGTAACGTGAGGTACTCAGAATGGCGCACAATTTAAAACTTATGAATTGTTCATTCCTGGAATTTTTCATTTAATATTTTCAGAACTTGGTTGACCACAGGCACCTGAAACCACAGAAAGGGAAACTGCAGATAAGGGGGATTACTGTATAATACAAGCCACATATGTAATTTTTAATTTTCTATTGGCCACATTTAAAAGTGTAGTAAAAGATAAAATTACTTTTAATAACATTTTATTTAACCTGTTATATTCAAGACACTATTTCAATATGTAATAAAAAATTATTAATAAGATATCTTTCTTCATACTAAGTCTTTGAAATTTATGTATATTTTATGCTTAAAGCATGTCTGGATACAGGTAGCCATATTTCAAATCTTCCTAGCCACATGGATGGCTCAATACTAGACCAAAATTTAATTAGGACTATCATACTAAGTCCTCTTCGTTTTATGTTCATAAAGTAGTACCCCTTGGAGGAATTAAAAAACCAAAAACCTCTTATTTTTATGTTGCTTGTTCTTAGTAGTTACAGGAATTATCCACACCTGATATTATAGATATTCTGCTGTGACATTTAATGCATGTTTTAAAAAATATTCAATGAGAACAGAGAATAGGCACATGAATATACATATTTTACTTATCAATACAAAACAGAATTTTATGATATTTTTCCCAGTTGGGATTGACAAACAAAAATTCTTGGGAAAGAAAATAGACATATTCTTTAACCAAGTTTTGTGTTTCCTTCCCTGGCAATTGGTCTTCGCATTCTTAGCCAGGCATTCATTTGAAGAAAACTAAATATGTCCAGCAAGTCCTTAGAAGTGAATATCTTTCTAAGGTATGTTATCAAAGCAAGACTGCAGTCTCCTTTTGTGTATGGGGTCACCTGGTAGAATTCCATTCCTGCAGTTTGTTTTTGACTAGTGGTTTAGACCTCACGGGTTAGGGTGAAACATGGCTTTCTGCCTGCAAACTGACAACAGCAGAGTATTTTTTCAGGAAAATATCTTTGATACTGTTTGGGTTGAAGACCCATGTCCCATTAGGACATGTTTTTATTTTGGGGGATGTAGGCAAAACACAAGCGATTTCCATT